TTTGATCATAGAATTTTGTTTTAGATTTTAATATTTTCTCTCTCGAACAGAAACTAAAATTATCTCAGTTGGATTAAATAATCTATTATTGAATTACTAGCTTATTAAAGTATTAAAAGTTAGATAAGAACAAGACATAAAATGCAACATAGTTTGCTAGTAGAATAAAAAGATGAATGTTTACAAATAAGCACATCATTGACTAAGAATAGAGAATATCGACTATGTGATATATTGATATTCGAAATAGTTCATCGCTACTTTCTTCTATCAAGATGTAAAAGATGAACCACCACCTACATGTCCTATTCTCGATACACAGGAACAGAACTGCTACAAAATATACTTAGATTTCGATTTCAAAATACAAAACATCTTGAACGTTTTCCCATGATTCAGTTACAAAATGCTATTTCAGAAGGGCATGCTTTGTTCTCTCAATTATTTTCCGAAGCTCAAAACTATAGAGTATCAAGCGATGTTCCAAATTTAAAAAATATTATATTGCCAAATGTTACAGATGATCAAGATGAAGATAGTGATGATTTTTCCGATGATGAATGACAATTACCAATCCAAAAACGACTACGAGTATTTCAATTATTACAACATGATATACTCAAACAATTACTTATTCAAGAAGAACAAATGAGACTCAGTCAAGAAACACAACATTTATTAGCAAGCATTGAAGATCGAAAAGACATTGATTGGATGGATATCATCGGTGATTTACAAACTGATTTAATCAAGACATTTCTCGGAGAAGATGCAGCACATGACGAAATTCAATATGGTTTAAGGTAGGGGTGGGTCGTTAACATTAACTAATGTCATTAATTAAGTTGGGTTAAAAAGTGGCCCACCCCTAATGCAGTCGGAAAACTGATGCATGCAATTCATTTCAGTATCACAATGATATAATTCATTATATTTCGAAAAAAGTTGCATTCAGGTTTTGTATTTTGAAAGCTGGATTAATTAGTTTTACTTTTTGCTTACAAACTAGATCCGAAATAATTAATCACTTTGCCAAAAGTTATTTTTTCGAATAATAAGGCCGAACGGTACTCGTGAAGCTTAGAAAGAAGCGATAATTTTAGCTCATTTGGATCGTGTTGTACAGAATAATCTGTTGTGTTGCTGAAATATAATCGCAACACCCCCGTGCACCTGTGTTTTTGATAATGAAATTCAGACAATTAAGCTGTTTAAAATTAATTCGATGCAGGCCCGAGAAATCGTTGAGTTGAGATTTTTGAATTGATTAAAATAAAATGCAGTTGCAAATCAGTGAAACAATATTCCTCGTCATGCAACTTTCAATACTTACTCTCTCAATTATTTCGTTACTGATTTTTCATGATTTTAATTAATTGATTGTTGCTCGCAGCGATTTTGAAGTAAAATCGATTCATAACTTCGTCAACACAAGCATTCCACGGAAAATGCCTTTCTGCGCAGTCAAAACATTATTGGGACTACGATGAATAATACATGTTTAATACAGAATATTTTCCTGGTATTACTAAGAACAGGAAAGATATACTAGACGTTTGGTTTAACGTTAATAATAAGACAATGAACACAATATTGAGAACATGATTGTTTGTGATTAGAAGTAATCGTTTTTCGGTGTGACATTCTTCTTTACACTGTACGTATCATCCTTATTTTGTATCGAAAAGAAAGTGTTCTTTGATCTGTTTGGTGCTTTTATTAATTCTTACTTAAACGGGTCAGCTCGAGCTATAATTTAATGCTTTTGTGTAGGTCTACAGCTGCCTGCCGTGTATATTTGCACATTTACTTGCGACGAAGTATTCATAGAAAAATCGACAAATTATTGTCGGTACAGCTTTGAATGTAAGAGCAAGTTGAAAAGATCCCAAATACGATAAAAGATAGCATGAGGGCAAAATTCTGGATACGAAATATGGATATTTCCAACAATTGTGAATGTTCTTGAATTCTCTACTTGCTTTAAAAAAAGAGCTGAAAATTCTTCGACAATGCTATCGTTTAGATAAAATCCTAATGATGAAATTACAAAAGTATAGTATAAAAAATATTTTCCAATGAAGATTCCTAATTAATGTATTTTATATGAAATCCATGAGTCACGTTGTTTACTTTACTACACACGCAACGATTGTAAAGAAATTGCGAAATTTTTTCTCATTTCTTTTCACATAGCGAATAGATAAATACGAAAACATTCCAACATCAATTGAAATTATGACGACTCTGTTTCTTACTTATTTTAGAAATGTATATAGGCTGAGAATAAATATAGCACGTGGTAAAATAGAAGCACGGGTTGTCAATATTCTTCCTGCAAAAGTATGTAAGGCGCATTTTTCTATCACTCGGAGAAAAACGCAATTTCTATTTTCTCTGTACGACTCTAATGATTCATTTATAGACACTAATTTATAAAACATTGCTTCATGCTGACTGTTTTTCATTTCTAAACGTTTCATAACAACGAATAGGTTGCGTCGATCAATGTAAGTATGTTTATCTCGCGAAAAAATAAATCAATACGGTAATCAACCAAAGCATTAAAAATTACTAATTTCAATTTTTTATGGCGCAACTTTCCTGAGTCATGTAATATTTAGTGAGAATCAGCGTATTTTAGTTTTCTGATGACTTCACTAAAGACATTAGAGAACTTTGTTCTTTTACATTGCTCGTAATTTTACATCTACCTGGCAGAATAAAAGTTAGTAACACTAAATAATTTCACCTATTGACTTGAATTAGAGCAAAACAATTTTCTAAAAAAAAAAATTTGGCATTGCAATTCACTTATATGTTACTATCTGTGTAGTTTTAGATAACAATTTGTTTTACCATGAGTACATCAGGTCCTCCAGGGGATAGTTCATCAGTGGCATTGACTGCCGTAACTCCTACGATGCCAACTTCATTCGTCTATAAAGAGTTAGTACTTCATGTACAAACCATTCAACAAAAAATGATTACCATAGCCAAATTTATTGATGATCAATGCAAAACCGATGAAAAAATACGACAAAAATTGAAATCACGTTCATTCAT